GTGGCCCACTGCTGAAACATACCTCCTCTCTTAAGCTGTACATACCCTTGCAGTTGAGTGTTCACTGTGATTGACTTGCTTATGGGCTTACCTGAGAAATAATTATAATTAATTACAATTAATTATGATAAATTTTCATGTATTAATTATAATTATAATTAATTATGTTATATTTTCATGTATTCTAGCCTATAATTAACTTTAAATTTGACATAAAAATAGACTACAATTACATTGCACAGATATACAGTACACTAACCAGAATAAAACTTAATAAGGTATGCTAGATCTTTTCTGTAACTTTCATTCTGGACTCTCGCTAGATTAGTGAAACCGATTGAAATTAGGTATTCATTTTGAATGCTGAGTGGCAGGTCGGAGGGCTCCAGACGCCTGATTATGTCCCCACTCAGTTGCGCATGTAAGGTGTTGGGACCTGAGTTGACGAGAGAAAAAAAATTCATATAAAGATTTTGATATAATCTTGAAGAAAAAAATTATTTTCACACATACATTTGAAATAGCGAACAAGAGCTTGGTTGAGACGATCTTCAACATGATTAAAAATAATTTTACAAAATTAACAAAAATTAACAGAAAAAAATCAAAAATTAACAGAAAAAAATTCTTCACACACACGCACATACACACGCACATACACACACACACACATACACACACACACACATACACGCACACACACGCACGAACACACACCTATGCCAAGTTTTTGACAGATTTGTTCAACAGTAGTTTTCAGATCACAAGGTAGCAAACAGGAATTGGAAAATTCGTCGGGATCTGGAGGATAAACCCTTATAAATCCATTACTAATATCCTGACTCAACCAATTTTCAACGTCATCCTGTGTGAAGACTTCATTGTAGAGATTTATCGAATCGGTCATGTTACTATTAGAGATGTTTATCCTCATCGTGGATTCAAGTCGTTTTTCATTTTCGTACAACTCGAGGACCGAGTCAGTCATATCCCAGAGGTCTTTATTGAGGACTGGTCTACCGAAAACTCTATTTTGTGCCATTGTCAGTCGTGCAGTTTGGTGGGTGGTTGTTACTCCGTAGTCCTTTAGCGCATAACTCATACTCCACCAGTTCTGCGAGGTCTTCTCTGAATTATTTTGATGATGTCGATGATGTTGTTGGTGTTGTAATCCCATTTTTTGGACGTTTATAGCTGCTGCTGCTGTTGTTGCTGTTGTTATGGGTTATATGGTTGTTGATGTCATTGTTGTTGTTGATGTTAGTTGTTCTGCTGAGGTCACTACTAAGACTGTACAAATTTTGCATCTGTCATACAATTGAAAAAATTTTAATTCTATAAAGTCAATAATTAATGAAATGTTTTTGCACTAAATAAGCAAGTTTAATCTGTTTTCTTTTAAAGAATTTAAAATTTATTCAAAACAGTTTTGGCTTTTAAAAATTTTATCAACAAAAAAAAGAGAGAGAGAGAGAGAGAGAAAGTTATATCATTTAACAATTTTAAAGTCATCTACCATACCACATCATTGCTAAAATATTTTACCCAACAAATTAATTAATGCTAGCAACATACAAAGAGAAGATGTCTTAATAATATTAATAATAATATAATAATATCTTAATAATATCTTAATTTAATAATATCTTTCACCAGTTATCTGGTGAAATACTTGTTGTATGTATCATATTATAATTATATATCATTTTTTTATGTATGTGTGTGTGTGTGTTTGTTTGTTTGTATGCAAGTAAGTCTGTGTGCGTGTTGTTTGTGTGTGTGTGTGTGTAGTGTGTGTGTACATTTATTATTGTTAATTGATTTTTAGAAAACCCAAACAAGCAATGGAATAGAGGTTGAATGATAAAAAAACAAGAGATCTATTCAATTAACTATTTAATATGTATATGAATACCTATAAATTTGGAAATTTATTTAAAATTAATTAATTTTATTATTTACTAGAATTAGTAGCTAAATTAAAAGATCTGTCTATCTATTTCTGATCAATCTGTATCTATTCACCCTGTATTTTTAAAATTTTAAAACAAAATCAATTAGCAGTACAATACATATTATAAATTAATTCAAGTTAAAGTACAATTATAACAATACACATATATATATTACTATACATTATACAATTACTAGCTACTGCCATATGCAAACATAACATTATTTATTGCATAATCATCTGTTAATTCTAATTAAAATGCATCTAATCATCAAATAAATAAGCTTTATGTACATACACATACACATACAATACACATACATACATACATCAACTTATGCACTTACATACATACAAACAAACATACATACATTGATTGACTTACAAACATACAAGCATTGACACACATACATACAAAGACAAACATACATACATTTACACATATACATACAAATATACACATACATTTACTTTACAGTTTTACACATACATACATACAAAACAAGCATACATTTACTTTTTACTACACACACACACACACATACAAACATACATACATTTACTTACACACATACACACAAACATGCATACATCTACACACATACAAACAAACATACATATCCATACATACAAACAAACAAACATGAGCCTATTTATACGACTACTAGACCATTAAATGTAAACAATGAAGCTCACTTTTAGTTGTCAATCAAAATGGATGTGTTGGTTTCAGAGACAATGAGTTTAAATATAACAGCTGTAATTATTATTAAATATTATTATATTATTTATATAATTATTATTATATTATATGTATTTTATATATATTTTCATTAGCTAGTATTGAGTAGTATTATTACTCTAAATCACTCTCTTAAAACTTTCTGTAAAACCAAACATCTAGAATGCAATATACTGAAATCACATTTTTATCTTTTAATTAATTAATATTACCATTATATGTTCTTATATATATATATATTAATTACTTACAAATTCTATGTGTATATAAATATAACAAATTTTATGTGTATATAAATATAACAGTTCAATCTTTAAAACAGAACCGTGTTAGCTTTCCCATAAGTTTAAAATCATTACATCCATTTATTCTATACAATATAATATAACGAATTAGAACTAAATTTTATCCATTATTATTAATTATAACTGTAATATTTCAGCCGAGGGATAATTTCTTTCAATCAAAAATTTTAGTTATTGTAAAAAAAACGCACTTATACGTGTGTGAGTCTTATGAGAGTCGTCATTGTTCAGCTTATTGTTATTATTCTTATGATTGATATTATTATTATTATTGTGGCCTTTTATGTGTGTGTATGCGTGTGTGTGTGTCAGCGTGTGAATGTATGTTTGTTTAACCAAACATTCAAAGCTATAGAATAGCAACTATTCATTAGCGTTTGCCAGATACAGTTGAACATGCTTAAAATATCATCATAAAAATAAAAGAAATAATGGTTTAGAAGCAATAGTAAGAATTACATAATTATAATGAAGAATTTTGGTAAAATTATAGAAAAATAAAGATTGAATGGATTTAAACCCCTATGCATAAGCACGTGTGTTTTTAATGAAAGTCTTAAATCTAGTTTTTCATAAACGAATCAAGGGCTAATTTCTATTAACTGTAAAGGTCTTAATTTTCTATCTATCTATCTATCTATCTATCTATCTATCTATCTATCTATCTATCTATCTATCTATCTATCTATCTATCTATCCATCCATCCATCCATCTATCCATCCATCAATCAACCTACCTATCAATCAATCCGTCTATTTCGAAAGAGATCAGCCAAAGCATGTAGAAGAAAAGGGAGCAATAGACATTTTTTTTTATTAATGGCAAAAAACATAGAAATTTTTCAATCTTTTTAGACTTTTAACTATATATTTCAATAGATAGGCGTTATTAAAACACTAGCATTACAAATAAGAACAATAATAATATAAATAATTATAATATTATAATTACTACAAATATATAACGTCTCTGTCGAAAAAGTCCAATGCCTACTAGCAGTTCACAACGGTAGTTTACAACGAATAGAACTCTACGATGATAATTTATTTTCTATTCAATTTATTTTTTTAAAAATACGTTTTAATTATTAATAAGTATTCATTATACTTTATTTTTGAAAAAAGTAAAAAGGTAAAACTCAGTCAATAAAGAAAAAAAATTTCATTTCAATGCTTTTTTCCAACACCACCCCTGTGGAATATAAAAATTTGAATTTAGTAAAATAAATAAATGTTATTTAATTTTAAAATAGAACAATTAAAAAAAATATATGATATAAAATCAAGAACAAAACTTAGCCGGGAAAAAAATCTAAATGAAATTATTACTTGCTACTGTTTTTGCTATTAGCATGAGTTTTAATCTTTTTGTGCTTGGCAGAGGTGTTTGATTTTTGGATACGGCTGCCACTTCCTGAAGCAGCTGACACTTTATGAAGCCGGGAGCTGCTGCTGTGGTGGTTGCCGCCAGCCGTAGCTAAGCTACTTGTATCGTTTTCATCCTCACTACTGCTCTGACTACTTGAGCTACTGTCACCCTTTTTACTACCTTCACCATTGTGGTGTGAGTACGATGAGGCACCGTTTTCATCGTGAGTTGACTTGTCGTCACTGTTTACAGAGTGGCCTAACCCGGATGGTGGTGGTGGTGTTGGTGAAAATTTGTGAGTATCAATAGCAGGTGCGATGATGTCAAGTGATGATTTATTTTAATAGTGATTAAGAATGGGATTAAGCTAGGTATAATTAAGAGTTTAATTATAATGTTAAAGCAATTTTATTATGATTTGTAAGTGATTGAAAAAATTATCACAGCAATAATAGCTAAAATCATTAAAATAATATAATAATTTATGAAGAAAAAAAGCAAAAAATAAAATAAATAAATTACTTTTATCAAATCCGTCTATAACACCGCTAACAGCCTGGCAAAAAGAAGAAAAATAATTATTAATTATTCATACATAACAAATATTATATTAATTATAAAATAATAATTTTAATAGGAATAATAATAAAAATAATATATTACTGCAGCAGACGTAACAGAAGACTTTGAGAAAAGCCTGTCTGCCTCTTTGAATTTCCTGTTTCTTTTATCTCCCTTGCTGTTTGTATTTCTAAAGAAAATAAATTTTAACAAGATTAAAAAAATAGTGACAAAATTAATAATATAGTAATTTATAAATACAGAATGTAAATATACATACAGTGATAGATACAGTATGTACATTGTACATAATTATATAGTGACAGATACAGTATCAGTATGTACATATATACACATATGTCATATAATATACAACATACTTGATATTGATAAGGTATCGGTCCCACCCCCTGATGATGTTGCCATATTGTTGGGTATCTTCCAAATAGCTCCCTTCAAATGCGTATATCTGCCTTTCTAAGTTGGCCAAGGTCTCCTGTCGTTTAAAATTAAAAAAGTGGTTTTGGATCGTCATATGATGCACTGTACTGTAACTAGTTCTAACTTTGAATTGTTTTTGTCATTTATTTTATATTTATGATATTTAAACAAATTTTAATTTAAAAAGTAAATAAAATAAAGATAGACATTATGATTATCATAGGTAGACTCTACTCTATCTATCTGATGGAGAGCTACACTGACTACAGCAACAAAGTACAACGTCATAAAAGATAGAGAACACAGAAAATATTAAGTTAAGTTCAACACAAAATCTGACAAAAACAAATAAACAACTACTTACCGCAATTTCGGCTCTCCTTTTGACGAGTTCGGCCAGTTCCTGACGAGTGTCCGTGTACTGCTGAGGGAGTCTGTTGTTGTTGGCAGACATTTTCATTTCGACAAAAGTTTAATTTAAATTAAAAATTTCGTAAACGCTGTTTATAATTTGATTATATTCCAATAATAAATGTAATTTTAAACTTCAGTTTATTTGAAACTGAAAAAATTTATTTATATAAACGTACGTTAATTCATACACCCTATCGAGGCAACCGTTTAAACATGGAACGCCAAACCAATTTGAATAAAATTGCCTTTTTCCATCTAGTTTTCCCAGCAAACACGCCACTATCGAAAACATTTTTCAATTTTATTAAAAAAAGAAAAAATTTTGTCTACATAATTGAAAAATAATTAGAAATGAAAAACATCATTCATCTTCATTTTGACATAAGGGTATGCTGTTCAGGGTGGTCAACAAATGTTCAGCAGGTAGTTCAGAACCTCTTATCTTCAAGGTATACAATGCAGACTCAACCTTCAGTAAACTTTGTTGCATGACATCTACCTAATTCCAAAATATATAAAGAAAAAATTATCAATATAACACAACTTGAAAAAATGAAATAACAACAAAAATTTAAATTAAATTTAAAAAATGTACTTTTCTAAGTTAACCTTTTTAGAGAGATATTTAGAAGCACCATGTAAAGAAACGAATGAATCAAATAGAGACCTCAAAAATTCACAGATTTCTTGTGATGTGTTGATGTCATTTTTGCCCATGGTGCTAATACAGTACCTCATAACTTCTCCTGTAAAATCAGCCACACCCAGCAGATAGTCATTAGGTGAAACAAGAATTCTGCCTGAACTGGATAATTGTGTTTCTTTACTTGAATCATCAAATCCCTCAAAGGTCTGATTTAAATCATGAATTAAAAACATTAAATAATCAATCTATGTGCATTTGTAAGTCATTTTAACCCTAAATATTTATCAAATTATACATTCAAAATTCCTAATTTCAAAATTTAAATGCTTTAAAAATTCACTTGTATGAAGATCAAATGATTCTGTATCTCTTGAAGATTTAGTAAACATCTATGTTGCTTAAAATGATGAAAAAGTAATGCTTCTATATACTCTTGAAGACCTGTAAATTTCATAAATTAAACTAAATATACACATATAAAACACACAGGGACACATACACAAATGTATACACTATACACACATACACTTTTTTGACATACACACACACAAATTAATAATAACCAGGTGAGTATGCCCTGAGGTACTCATAACACTTTTGATCACCATTCAATTCACTTGATATCAGCTTCCATTTCTCTACTAAAATTTTTAATTTGTATTTGATATCTCGGTCATTTTTTTCAATGTCACATGATCTAAGAAGAGGATGGAAAATTTTGAATTGGGTGAAAATATAATATTCACATACAATCATCAAAATTAATTACTGATTAATATTGAACATTGAATGATTATTTAGTAAAAAGTGTTAAAAATGGAAAAACATGAATACGTTTTTATTAAAAATTTAGAATGGTTATCTATTCTTCTATATCTATAAATATATCTTTATCTTGTATTAATATATGCATATTTTTCTAAATTTAATCTTAATGTTTAATTTAATCTCTAAATATAATTTTTAATTTTATTACAATTTTATAGAAAAAAACTAAAAATCACTCCTATGAAAATGAAGATATTGATAAGTAGTTATCCTAATAAATAAACGCACCGTTGCAGGAGAAAAATGAGACGCTTGCTCTCAATCGTCACATCCCTGCTTAGTTTCACTAATTTCTCGTATCTGTCATTACGATCATCCAAAATGTCTCGGTAATTTTCGAAATAGCTTTTCATTTTGAAAAAAAACAAAAAATTTAAAGAAAAAAACAAGCAAATATCGATTTAAAATTGATCTGTAAAAACACAAGTTTGAATTCATCAAAACAAGCCTAATCGAAAATAGTTAAATGTTCAACATTCAGCAAACATTTTTCAAACTAGAGTGAAATGCCGTTAGAGCCAGTTAGAGTAATCAATCAATCAATCAATCAATCAATCAATCAATCAATCAATCAATCAATCAATCAATCAATCAATCAATCAATCAATCCAGTTTATACGTAATGAACGTATGCAGCTTAATCAGCAAATCATCTATAAAATTAAAAAAATCAATTTAATTTGTTTAAGCAATAAGTCAAGTCACAAATCAAGAAGCTAGAATCAATTTTTAACAATCCGAAGTTTAAATAAAGTGCTTTAAAATGTTTAAAACTCAAAAAAGCATAGCACATTACATCTACAAGTTATTTTTGTCGTTAATGGGTTCATTTGGGGTTAACTTTTTACTTTATTAATCACCTGTTCTTATTCCACCGGTCATCTTCTTGAATTCATCTTTAGTCTGAATCCATTTTAAAACAAATTAGGATCAATATAAATATACGATTATGATTGTGATGATTGGTAAAATTTTAACGACGTTGAAATAATATAGTGACGATGATGAAGTGATGGCTGAGATGATTATTTGTGAAGTGAAGAAGTCATTTCGATGAATAAATAATGATGAAAATGATAACGTTTTTGATGATGGTGATGCAATGATGATGGTGATGAAAACATAAAGACTGACCCAATCAGAAAACTGATTGATTCCACAGGTGTATGTTGTTTCACCTTTTTCATAAAGTTTGTTGTGGTCAATCACAAATTTGTGGTTTTCAATGAAGACGTCTTTTCTCATCTTTTCTTCCTCCTCACTTGCACACACTTTGTCTGAATGAGGGGAAAAATTTATAATTTAAATTTCAAAACCTAATCAAAATTTTTGCTGTGGTTTTTATTTTGTACTTATAAATCATGGTTACTATTGAGTTATTTAATATATCATAGTTTATACTTTATAGAGTCAAATTTAAAAAAAACATGAATTTTAAAAAATATAAAAGTCAACTTCTTACATATGTGTGTGTGTGTGTTTGACTGCTTATAAACTATGAATGTGTCACAAAATTTATCTTCATGTGAATCAGTCAATGTTTATGTGTATGTGTACTTATAACTCTCTATATATAACAAACTTAGTTTACTTATTTATATCCAAATGTCACAGGTTTAATAACATGAATTTATATTTGTTAATATTTACAAAATATAATGTGTATTATTTCTTATTGTATCTCCTATATCTGTGCTATATGTGTCCTTAGGGCTAGTGATTAGTCTTTTACTTTATTAGACAGGGTAGGTAAATGTAAAAAACTGACTGAACTTAGATTTGAACTTGAGCCATTCAGCTTCCACATCAGCACTGACAACATCTTCTTGGGAATTCGAAGCACTCATGATCTTTTCGGCTGCTTTCACTCGAAATTGACTAATTCACTCTAACTGACGATGAAGCAATCCTAATTAATTAATTAATAAATTACAAAAGTGACAGACACGGAGAAATTTTTTAAACCTGTAAAAAAGTTGATTAGCAAATTTAAAATGGCTACAAATATCTAAAATAAAATTTGATTAAATCAAATTTAAACAACGAACAACATAGCGACAGTAAAATGAAAGATTTGTTTGTTTATTTATATTTTCAGGCGTTTCAGCACAAATTGGCTATCTTCACGCCCACTTCTTTCAATTTTATTTAGTTAGTAAGAACATTCTTCTTCTTAAATTTTATGAATTAAATCAGTCTCAATCAGAAATTTTATTAAATTCTGTATGTTCATTTGGTTAAGAACTACTTCTTGCATATTCGTTGGAATGTTATGTCGTTTTCTTTGGTCGCTATATTTGATACACTCAAGGATGATGCGATGAACTGTCAGTTTTGTTCTGCATGTCTCACAGTTTTTTTGCTTTATTTTCTCTAATATCCATGAGTGAGTTCTTTTGTGTGACCAATCTTTATTTTATTTACAACTGTTTGATGTAGTCTCGGCATATTTATATTTTGTAATTCTTTGATCGGGATTTTTGGAGTTGATATTTTGAGAAACTTTTTCGTTTCATTCCATCCCTGTTGCCATAGAGAGTTGGTGTACCCTTTTATTATTGTTTTGATGTCAGTAAATGGTATAGGTATATTAGATATTGGAATTTGCTGCTGTATTGAATTTGCTGCTGTATCTGCTTTTTCATTTTTTTTATTCCAATATGACTTGGTACCCACACCATCTTAATATTATTGTTATTTGTTATTATGTTTTGATGTATTAAATTTTGAATCACGATTATTAATGGGTTATTGGGTCTATGATGTTTTATTGCTATTAGGCTAGATAAGGAGTCTGTAAATATTATATACTTGGTATTGTTGTTTCTTATAATATAGTTAAGTGCCATTTCTATTGCTGTGAGTTCCGCTGTGTATATTGATGCATATTGGGGTAAATTTTGTAGTATTGTATGCTTTTTGCTGGGGATCACAACTGCTGATGATGTTGAATTTGCCTTTTTGGAACCATCAGTGTATATTGCTATACAATTTTGATTTGTTTCTATAATTTCATGATATTTTATTTTGCATTCTTCTGTGTTTTTTTCATATTTGGTGATTGATAGGTCTATTTCTGGTATCTTCATTGTCCATGGAGCCACTTCTGATATTATTTCTTGTTTTATCTTTATCTCTTTCAACATTTCAAGATGCTTTTTCAGCCTTTCATCTATTGTTGGTATTGCCTTTAACTCTTTGATGTTGACCATGTTTTTTGTTGGAATGATGTATTTATATGCTGGGTTGTTTACTTGGGATTTGATCTTGATAAAATAATTTAAAGATAATTTTAGCTGTCTTAAATATTTTGGTAGTTCTGCTGCCAAGACATGCATACTCTCTGCAGGTGATGTGCGATAGGCTCCAAGGCATCGTCTTAATGCTTCATTAATTATTGGATCAATTGTTTTGATGTAAGAGTTTCTGGCCGCACCATACACCTGACAGCCATAATCAATGATGGATCTTACTGTGTTTCTATAAATTATTAAAAGATTTTTTTGATCCGCCCCCCAATTAGAATGTGATATTATTTTAATTAGGTTTAGAGCTTTTTAGCATTTGATTTTCGTTTTTGTTATGTGGGGGATGAAGTTTAATTTATTGTCAAATGTTACTCCCAAAAATTTATATTCATCTGCATATTTTAGTTCTTCATTTTGAAATATTATTTTTGGGTTTATTTTCTTTCTCTTTTTTGAATAAAATATACAGGTGGTTTTGGATCTTGAAATAATTATACCATTTTCTTTTGACCATTTATTTATGTTATCAAGTATTTTGTTAGCTACATTTTCAATGTGGTTTATGAATTTATGTTTTATTGTTATTGTCAGGTCATCCATATAGAGACATGTCATCACATTTTTTGGGATTATATTGTTTATTGAATTTATATTAAGACAGAAGAGTATAAGTGATAATATACTCCCTTGTGGTAAACCCATCTCAAAATTCATTACTTTTGACAAAGTATTGTTGACCTTTACTTGGAAAGTGCGATTAAGTAGGAATTCTTTGATAAATTTGGGAAGTCTTCCTCTTAGACCAGCTTTGTATAAATTTTTCATGATCCTATATTGCCATGTTGTATCATATGCTTTCTCAACATCAAAGAAAATTGTTAGTGCTTGCTCTTTGTTTGCGAATGCCTGTTTTACATATGTTTCCATCGATACAACATGATCAAGTGTTGCTCTTCCTTTCCTTCCACCACATTGTGTATTTGTAGGGATGCTATAACTGTGTACATGATCAGGTAAAGTCTAGCTTGTAATCGTTCTGGTTGATAGCACCTCGATGTTGGCTTAAGGAACCACCATGACGCAGAAGTCATAGATGGAGGTTTGTTCATTGGTTAATAATGACCAAAACATATCGTTTTTACCCTTTTTACCGTAAACGCCTAAGAACAAATGTCGTTTAATGATCTGAATTGGTTAATAATGACCAAAACAACATAATTATGTTGTTTTGGTTGAGGTACCATGTTAATCTATTATTTATTACTTTTTCAAAAATTTTACATATGCAACTTGTTAGTGAAATTGGTCTATAGCTGTCTGGGTTTTCTTTGGGTTTTCCTGGCTTATTGAAAGGTAGTACTATTGCATGGGTCCATGTTTTAGGTATTTTTGAATTGATCCATATGTGATTATATATATCTAATAATTTATTAACAGCTATGTCTGGGATATTTTTCAATATATTATATGTAACTTGATCTTCGCCTGGGGAAGAATTTATACTGTTTTCTATTTCGTCCATCATTTCTTTTTTGGTGATTGGTTGATTGTGGCTTTCATTGTTGTTAGATTCAAAATTGAGGGCTAATTTTTCTTGTTCTTTTTTGAGTTCTCTGAATTCTTTACTATGATTGGATATCTGAGATTTATTTTTGAAATGATTGGCCAGTATATTTGCTATCTCTTCATCTGTTTCATATGTTTTGTTCTGGAAAATTATATGGCTTGTACGGCTTTCTGTGCTTTTACTTTTAAGTTTCTTGACCATTTCCCATATGTGTATCATTGGTGTATTTGATTTCATATTACTAATGAATCTGTTCCAACACTGCTTTTTTTCCTGCCTTACTGTTCTTCTTGCTATTGCCTTGGCCTTTTTATATTCTATTAAGTTTTTTAGTTCTATTATTTGTAAATATTTTTAAGTGTTTTAATTTTTTTTTATTGCTGCTTTACACTCACTGTTAAACCAGGGATTTATCATTTTATTGTTTTTATTATTTATTTTTGGTGTTGTCTGCTCTATTATCATCATTATTGTTTTGGTCCATCTTTCTATAGATGCTTCACTTATTTCATTCCACATAGCAAATTGAGAGGCTGTT